TGCGATTATTGGCTCGTAAAAAGGTAAAAAAAGATAAAAAATGCAGTATTTCTTTTTATTTGAATTACCATTTTTTTTTCTAATTACGTTATTTTAGGGAATGCACTTAAATCAACATGGTCTATACACCAATGTTATGCGTGATGCGAAAGATGTAAAATATAATAAAGGCACTCTTATTGCTCAAAGAACCGAACAAGAAATATTTGACGCGTTGGGTGTTCCTTATCGGTAAATATTATTATTTATTTATTTCTATTCTTGGTTTTCGCTTTTACTTTTTCACATTTCTGTTTTAATTTTAATAGCCCACCAAATGAAAGGATATGTTAAATTGATAACAGATAATATCGATATTATTTAGTTGTGAGAATAAAATGTACTTGACTATTGCGCCACCCCAGATATGTCGCAGTCAGTCCAAATCTATAAAAACCGGCCGTGCATCGTCTTAATTTGGCTGAACCTACTGGCATTAAAATAATGCGAATTCGACTAAATCTGGCCAGCACTAAATCGTATAAATTTTCTTGTACAAGATCTCTAAGCAATTTTCATCAAAAATTTAACTCTTATCGTTATGGGACTAAACTGTAATCACGAATAATATAGCGACTTTTTTCTGCATGCACTGTTTGGTTTCTGCAGTTTCTAAACAAGCCTGAAATAATAATTCAGAATCCGGCAATACTTTGTAATTTGTTTTTATAAATAGAAAACCTATATTCGAAACTGCAACTAGATATAGTCATTTGCGAAAAGTAAATTTTCGTCGACGCTAAAGTGTTCTGAATATTCAGCAGCACGGATTTGTGTAGTTATTATTTTATGTCATAGATCGAAGTGGACGAGATCCAATTTTGACTCAGGTGGATTCAATATATAATCTTATAGCTTAGTTGAATTTAGACTTTTTATGTAATAAAGTGCACCTCCCCACAGTAAAAAACAGGCAGAGTATGCACTTAAAGAGGATGTGCATTTACAGAGAGTAAAATATATATGTGTTTTATAACTTGGAACCAAGCCATACCGTGCATTTAGAGGGAATTTATACAGCGCGTGAGAGAGGTTTTACTGTAGTGTGATCAATTTTAATCCGCAACACATGACAATTTTCAGATGTGAATTATCACTTATTGGATTTAGTATGCGGAAGAGATCATATACAGAGAGCATTATGGGGTGATTGAGGTCGTTCTGTCGCATTAAATCAATGATGATATCGATATAACAATATGCCTTGCAAAGTAATATCACTCACGTAATAATCGTAGGATTATAGCATAACGATAAACTGTACTATACCCTAATCCTTTTTCAATACAGTACATGTAGTTTCCTCTATACATTCTATTACTATACTACCTCCACGTGATGCATACCATACGGATATTCGCATTAAACTCTTGCAATGAATGTCCAAAGTTTCGGAAACCAAACTACAAAGAACTGACTGAGAGAGGCAACCTGGTCGACTGTCAATTGCATATGCCGAGTGGAATAGCTCTGCGAAGATCTATTGTTTTTGAACCAAGAGAAACGTGAAAATGGCATCGCTTACTCAGGAACAGATGGTAAGTCTACTGATTTTATGTTCTATTACGTGTGTTTGATCAATAAAGCCGAACTTAAAAATTTTTTTAGGGAGCCGGATGATGTAACGCTGTCAGAGAAAGAGAACATTATCATGGAGGAACTTCTCACAGAAAGCCGCCCTTCTATATCTTCCACAAAAGAAACAAAAACCACCATCTGTAACGGGGATCAACATCGGGTGAAGTTCCTAGAACAAACATGGTTCCCGACTCAATCAAAATACATGACATAAATGCTGCATTGGATGTTGCTACAAAACATATCGAAATAAGGTAAGTCTGGCCTGTTAGTCCTTTTACCCACTTTGCACAAGTAAAACAAAAAATTCAATCTAACTAATCAATCTATACTTATCGTTAATGAAATCGCAAACTGCTAAACGAGGATTTCTTGCTAATAATGGATTTAAGGTTTGGCGTTTAATCGCTTCTATTATAATCATGCTAATCGTTCTAATCGTCCTTTTTTTCCGGTTCATGTGACATCCGAATGATCTAAACTTCCCCCAAGAGAAGTAGCAAGTGAAGGCGAAAAAAAGGAACAGATCATGTTATTCAGATCCCAATGCCGGCCATCCGATATGCCCCTTAAAATTATGCACCAATCAAATCGTAAGATCAATGTGCAACACAAAAATTTGTATCTTGATTTATACTTTAATAAAAAATGTTTCTTGCGAAATTTTGTATATATTTTCCGAAACTTTAACTAATACTATCATAATTTTAAGGAGCATATCGGACGATCGGTATTGGAATCAGAATCACATGATCTACCTCTTTTTTTCGTTTTCACTTTGTTACTATAGTGCATATAATTTAGTTAAATCAAATCACATGATCACAATCTCAAATTCAAAAAGTTTGAACATATAATAATTATTCAGATTATGTATAATATGAAAATGCAAAACAAATAACAAAAAATCATAAATAACTCAAAAAAATATTCAACACAAAATTATATATATACAGTGACAATCAAAAATAATGCAACAATGTCAAAATTTATTAATTAAATATAGTAAAATATATATTTTTCTTTTTATATAAAAGTTTTCACTTTTACTAATAAATATTTTTATTTTTACATTAAAATGAAAATAATATCACATATTTTAATATATATTTTTTTCAGATTTTTTAGATTTAATCTGATAAAGCTATTTTAATTGCATATAAAATTAATTATTTTTTTATATTGTTGTATAACAAAATTTGATCAAATATTTTACTAGATCATTCATATTGAATTATAAATATCTTATATCTTATTGAAAAAATCTAATTATATAGAATGAGCAAATAAATAAGCAAGTAAATAAATAAATAAATAAATGAACAAGTAAATAAGTGAACAAAGAAATAAATATTGGACCAATTAGCAAATATGAATTCATATAATTGTTAAAATATAGTTTGAACATGTATAAAATAACATGTATTATAATTATTAGAATTAGATTAGAAACAAATTTTCAATAGTAATATTTTTAATTATCATTTTATAGCTAGTTATTATATACTTTTAATTATTCATATTGTCATCATGTGATATTTTAGCATCTGATATGAAATATATCATGTTATTTTAAGTATATTTCTATTGAATAATAGTAAATATATGGTCTATAAATTACAATTTCTTTTAGTTCATACTATTTATTTTATATTTTATCTTATTTCATACTATTCACTTTATATTTCATATTATTTTATTTTATTTCATATTATTCATTCTACTTTTAATATATTTCATACTATTTGTATTTAGTTCATATTATTTTCATATTATTATTATTAGTATAAAAAACATATGTTAATCAATTTTAAAGATCAAATTAGCTTAATAGTAATTTATAGAAATTAGTTATACTCAAATCAAAAATATAAAATATTAAAACAAATACTACAAGATAATTTATAGGATAAATTAAGTCTCATTCTAAATAAAATAGATTAGTTCTAGATTGAAAAGATTGAGTAATGAATAATTATTATAAATATAGTATGTATTTTAGCTAGAAAGATAGACAGTTCTTGATTAACTTAGTATTAATAAAGTTTTTTGCTTTTATTCTTTAATAAATATAATAATTGACTTACTATATGTTTATCAAAAGAATTGATTACTTTGTGTTTTCTTTTCTTGAATAATAATAAAGATTCTTGATGAATCTAGATTGTTTCTTGATGAAGTAACACTCGTATATTAAAGAATTTTGTATTCTATTTCTTATAAATCCTTTTTATAATCTTTTTATAACTCTTTGAGTTCTTGGTAAACTTGCTTCTATTTTTATAAAACTTATATTATTCTTAAAGTTCTTAGTAAACTTATTAGATTCTTTATAAATTATTTAGCACTTTAACTAATATATAATAGTATTAGAAGATTATTTCATATTTTGTTCATTCTTTTATGCTTTTTTATGTGAACATAGTCATTATCTACTATATAGTAAAGATCTTTATTCATAAAGATTACTAATAGTAACAATATGAGTAAAGTTTATACTTTATATAAAATAGATAGTCAAGTGCAAACTCATCTCTATATCTTTTTAACAAAATATTTTTGTTTCTTGTATAATCACTTCAATATGTTTGTCATAAATATTATACAATTCTTAAATAAAGTATTAATTACTTAAACATATTTGTTATAGATAATATATTATTTAGTAATTAATTCTAGGCTCTCTAAATATATTTATAATGAAGTCTATTGAAGTTATATTAAATAAAATTAAGACTTTCTAAATATATTTGTAATAAAGTTTATTAAAAGTTATTATTAGTTTTATAATTTTTTGACTTAATTGCAAAGTTATATTGAAGTAAAGAAATTATTATTATAATTCCTAAATCTATCTTTAAATTATATTTGTTATAATATGAATATTATAATCTTTATATCTTTGATTTGGAGAATTTAATAACACTTATTAGCTATTCAAATTATTATGTTAAAAAAATATAACTATTACCAAGCTTTAAGTAGTTTTGTTATTAGTACTTATTCATATTCAATCTAATAGTTATAAAATATTATTAATACTTTGAATTATTGTTAAAATATTAATAGTTCTCTTTGAATATTTTTTTAAATTTTATAAATATCTTTGAGTATTTTAAAAATTAATCAAAATGATAACAATATATTTTAATTATAAAAAAATAATTAACTCTATATGCAATTAGAATAGCTTTATCAAATTAAATTCAAAAAATCTAAAAAAAATATATTATCACTATTTACTTAGATTTTAAAATATATTATATCTTTTTACGTGCTTAATACGTATTTCAAGTCAGATAGAAGAGATAAGATAAATAACTAAAGGTAGTAACATGTATTTATTAAATTATTAGTCAGCTAAAAAGTGACTTAAGAATTTTCTTATAAATTAATATATATTTAATAAGATAATTATAATGATAATTTATAGATAAGTAAAATATTATAAATTCAATTTATTAAATTATTTTAATAATATGACATCACAATGTATAAAAGATCAAATTATAAATATGATATTACAAATATATAAAAGATCATTAACATAATATTATAAATATATAAAAGATTATAAACATAATATCACAAATATGTGAGAGATTATAACAAACTAAAATAAAACTTTAAAATTTAAATAATGAAATAATAAAAAAAATATTTAAATATTCTAAATGTGTTATTTTCAAAAGAATATTATTATTAAAGGAATTTATTTTTGAGTTAATAATATTTAGAACTTATTTAATTAACTAATTGACTTGTTAATTGACTGACTTATTGACTAATTTTTCTAAGCTAAAATACATACTTCTTTTATATAAAATTATTAAATCAAAATTACTAATGATATTCACAAGAAAATTGCAAGAGTTTAATGCGAATATCCGTATGGTATGCATCACGTGGAGGTAGTATAGTAATAGAATGTATAGAGGAA